ACTTTCTTCCACATAGACATCATCGACGCCCCTCACCCTTGCACTTCCATTGCAAACCGCCGGTGGTGGTAAGGTCACCGCCGTTGGTGGTAAGGTCACCGCCGGTGGTGGTAAGGTCGCCACCGGTGGTTAGACCAACAACACCTGCATATACCCTACCTGCTCCAATACAAGAATCACCACCAAGAAGACCCTATGGTGCACCACCTATGTACATAGTTCCGCCAATCAACAACCAACTACCGCCATCGCCTGTCTACAAGCCACCACCATACTTCAATAACAATCCACCATCAACAAGACCTATTCGTGAACCACCTGTTTACATGGTACCACCATTCAACATCAAACCACCACCATTACCCGTCTATATGCAACCACCGGATATCGAGTATACTCCACCAACACCAAGGCCTATTCGTGTATCACCACCTATGTACACGGTACCTTCCATTAACATTGAACCACCACCATTTCCTGTCTACTTGCCACCACCAGAGTTTGAGAACAATCCACCACCAACAAGACCTATTCGTGTTGAGCCACCAATATACATAGCACCACCAATCATCAACCAACCACCACCATCTCCTGTCATGCCACCACCAGAGTTTGAGAACAATCCACCACCAACAAGACCTATTCATGTTGAACCACCAATATACATAGTACCACCAATCATCAACCAACCACCGCCATCTCGTGTCATGCACCCACCAGATTTTGATAATAGCACACCACCGACAAGAGATATCCATGTAGCACCACCAATGAACATGGTACCACCTATCAACATGGGACCACCATCATCTCCGGTTCCTATGCCAACACCAGAGTTTGAGAGTAGTCCACCACCAACAACACCTATTAGCGTGGAACCACCAATATATATAGCACCACCTATCAACATTCAACCACCATCATTACCTATCTACACACACCCACCAAATTTTGATAATGGTCCACCACCAAACAGACCAATTCATGTAGCACCACCTATATATGCAATACCACCTATCAACAAGGAACCACCACCATTGCCTATCTATACGCCACCTCCAGGGTTTGAGAAAAGTCCACTACCAATTACAAGACCTATTCACGTGACACCACCCGCGTACATAATACATCCTATCAACAGAAAACCACCACCATTACCTGTCTTCAGCCAACCGCCAACAAGACCTATTCATGTAGCTCCACCGGTTTACATGGCACCAAAAATTAACAAGCAACCGCCACCACCACCACCTATTTTAAAGAACAACCCACCACCAGCAAGGAAAATAGGAGTTCAACCACCAGTGTATATGACACCGCCATTGAACATGCAACCACCACCTTCACCTATTGTCTACATGCCACCGCCAATTTCAGAAAATAATCAACCACCAGCAAGGAATATTCGAGTGGAGCCGCCAATGTACACACCGCCAATCAACATGAAACCATCACCTTCACCTATAATCAACATCCCACCACCATTTTTAGAGAATAGTCCACCACCATCAAGGCCTATTCTAGTGAATCCACCGATATACATGTCACCGCCAATCAACATTCCACCACCACCTTCACCTGTTGTGGACACCAGACCACCAGTTTCAAATGACATCCCACCACCACCACCACCACCTGCCGATAGTCAGCCACCACTAGAAACACTAGCTCCACTAGATCCTATTGACGATCCACCCCATTATGATATGCCACCACAAAATCCGGTCAGCATGCCACCACCCATAAATGAAGAACCTCCAGAAATTCCAATCGCCATGCCACCACCCATTAAACCGCCAGAAACTCCAACCGACGTAACATCACCCATTGAGGAAGAACCACCAGAAACTTCACCACCGGTGATGGATGAACCACCAGAAACACCAACACACAAACCACCACCCAATGATGAAGAACCTCCAGAAAATTCAGTTGGTATGCCACCACCAATGCAAACGAACATGCCACCACCTGTTAGGGAAGAACCACCAGAAACTTCAATCGGCTTGCCACCACCGGTGATGGATGAACCACCGGAAACACCAACACACAAACCACCACCCAATGATGAAGAACCTCCAGAAACTTCAGTTGGGATATCACCACCCATGGATGATGAACCACCAATGCAAACGAACATGCCACCACCCATGGAGGATGAACCACCAATGCAAACGAACATGCCACCACCCATTAACGAAGAACCACCAGAAACTTCAATAAGCATGCCACCACCGGTGAAGGATGAACCACCAGAAACACCAACACACATACCACCACCTAATGATGAACAACCTCCAGAAACTTCAATTGGTATACCACCGCCCATGGAGGATGAACCACCAATGCAAACGAACATGCCACCACCAATGAACGAAGAACCACCAGAAACTCCAATCAACGTGCCACCACCTGTGGAGGATAAACCACCAGAAATTCCAACCGATAGGCCACTACCTATACAAGAACCGTCAATCGACATGCCACCACCTATAGAGGTTGAACCACCTGAAACACCAGGCATCCAACCACCCATGAGGGAAGAACCCCCAGAAAATCCAATCGACATCCCACCACCTATAGAGGATGAACCACCACCAATAGACATCCAGCCACCTATGAGGGAAGAACCGCCAGAAACTCCAATAGACAGCCCACCACCTATAGAGTTTGAACCACCAGGAACTCAAACCGACGTGACATCACCTATTAAGGAAGAACCGCCAGAAATTTCAATCGGTATGCCACCACCTATAGAGGATGAACCACCAAAAATGCCAATCGACATGTCACCACCCAGTCAGGTAGAACCACCAGAAACGTCAATTGGCATGGTACCACCGGTGGATGATGAACCACCTGAAACGCCAATAGATATGCCACCACCTCTTGGGGAAGAACCTCTCGAAAATCCAATCGACATGCAGCCACCTGTGGTGGACGATCCACCAGAAATGCCAACCGACAAGCTACCACCCATTGAGGATGAACCATCAGAAAATCCGATCAACATGCCACCTCCAATGGAGGATGACCCCCCGGAAACACCGATTAATATGCCAACACCAATTGATGATCAACCTCCACAAACTCCAGTCACTATACCACCACTAATCGAAGATCAACGACTACAAACTCCAATCGGAATACCACCACCCATTAAAAATTAACCACCTGAAAAGCTGAGCTTTATGCCACCATCGACTGAGAATCAGATGAGTCGCAAACCGCAACACCACGTACATATATATCATTAATTTACAACTTAAAGTTGCTTCCCAGAGGATGATCCCACCTGTCACCAATGGTGAGTGATCTCATTATGAACATGGTTAATTTCCATAAGTTTTAATGATGTGGACATGCATGCATCGTATGCATGTATCTTATTTTATTCTTCCAAGAATGTAACATGATGTGCAAAAGAAGTATTCCACGCATTGGATGGTTTTGTTTTGGCTACTGTAGGTACTAACCATATATTAAAAGGTTCAACTAAGTTCTGCGCATCAGTCTGTGAAATAGCATGGTTATAATCTTTCGACTTGACCTTCAGTATTTACTTTATATCTGTATGGTTGAACTTTTAATACATATACATTTATTAATTAAGACAATTCGCGCGAGTGGGTAAATTAATTGTATCTTCTCATCGACTGTTTGGGCTATAACTACGTACATGTAGTCACCACAGGGTTTGACCATGATCTTTTGACCTCAAAGAGTACACCGACGACATTTCGTGTCGGCAATAGATTAGGAGGGAAGCAAAAAGACTTTAAGTGGGTTTCTGAAAAGATTTTAAGTGGGTTTCTGAAAATATATGCTGAAGACGTACATGGCGTCACTATAGGCTTGGAAAAATCTTTTTTATATTTTTAATATAATTTTACAAGAAAACAAAACAACATCGTGTTGGTTTATACATATGTGGTCGACATGTCGTCGGTATAGAGATGCATTGATCCTGGGGTGGGCTATAGCTAAGCACATATATTTTATTAATTATTTTTATATGATTTATTATAAATAAAGGTTTGGACTTTTTGTTTGTGCTATAAGTAAGGGAAAGTTATTTATCCAGGGTAACCATCTAGGGATTATGTAGACCTCGATATGGTAGGGAAGACTTGAGACAGTTGGTGTAGAATTTTAAAATCTCTAGTCTATTCAAGTAATGCGGACATGGAAGAGAAAAGGCTTTCAGAGATGGATGATTTGGTTTGGGAATGGTGCGTCATTGCGGGTTGTTAGGTATTTAAGAATGTTCCAGGCTTGATTGTCTAAAGCAAGTGCAACTTGATTCAAGTAAGTTCTTGTCGGGAGTTTTGAGTCATCATCATTGATTCACGTATTAGGTATTTGGATAGGCTCTGGTTTTAGGATCATGGTGTGGGGTCCCTTGACTGTTCTTGTTTGATGAAGGCTTGGATATTCGAGGCATGGTCCGAAGACCGGATAGTTCTAGGTTCCTAGGGTTCAATATCTCAGTTTGTTCTTGACTATTATTTTTTGGTAATGTCGGGTGATGGCAAGTTTCCTTAGGTTAATGGGATGATGATTTTGTACCTACAAGCCTATTTGGGATGATAGAAAGACGGGAAAATGACTTAAAAGACCAATTAAGTTTCAAAAACATCTATATTACCCCAATTATGTTTTTGTTGTTCAAAAAACACCAACGAAATAATGTTTTTTTTATTATAAAGCCAAATAAAGTTACCAATAAAATTACGGTTTTTTAATGGTGACCGGCATTGTGGGTTAGGCTTCTTTGTTTACCGGTGATCAATGGTTTAATCTGACATGGATTATTAAAACACATTACGTGAAACATAAATGCCACAAGTATATTGATTCACCATCAAGGGTTCTCAGTGAAGGGTGAAATCGATATCTAGGGTTCTTACACAACGGTGAACGGTGAACTCGTGACAGTGAAATTGATTTTTACAGAAGGTGAAGGAAAGTTCGTCGATTGTGCAGCAAGGGTTCTCAGCATGTCTCGTGACTCACTCAACATTGATGTCTACCATAAAGGTGTTTTTTCTCCTAATCCTTTTGTTTACTTCTATCCTCATAAAGTACCTGTTATGGGGCTAGATGTATGTAACATGGATTTCATGGAGTTCAAGACCTATCTCCAAAAATTGATCAACAATAGATGTCGGGATATGTATTACTGTCTTAAGAATCAGTCCCTCGTAGATGGGTTAAGGGAGCTCAGGGATGAAGATGATTATGTTAGGTTCCTTGATGTTGGGTTTGATGATGATGATAATCAAATCAGTATCTACATTGATGACTATCATGAACCCTTACTGGATTGGATTGAAGAAGAAAAGCTGAAGAATGGGACAGTGGTACTGAAACATATGAAGATGATGTGGACTCGGTATTGTCGGATGATCTATCGGTGGACCATGAAGCTGATGATGAGGACATTCAATGGCCTGAAGTTGTTGATCCTTTTTTTGTCACAGAAGAATCTTATTCCAGAAAGAGGCATAGAGGAAGAAGCTAGTGATAAGGTAAAAAAACATCCTATTCATGATCCAAACCAAAAATGGGACACTATGATGCCTGAGTTAGGTATGAAATTCTCTGATCGAGATGACCTGAAACATATGTTAACAAATTATGCTGTGTCTAAGGGTTATTCATTGTGGTATGAAAAAAATGAGGCAACAACATTGTTGGTAAGGTGCAGTAAAAATGAGAAAGGGAAGCCATCTTGCCCTTTTAGACTATGGGGTAGTCCCATGAACAAGGAAAATTCATTCCAGATCAATTCACTAATTGATAAACATAATTGTGCTAGACAACAAATATTAGGTTGTCTTGTTACGTATAAGTGGATTGGAAAAATGTTAATAGCAGACATTTTGGAAAGGCCTAAGTTTAGCTATAGGAAAATGGAAGAAGTTGTTAGGAAAGACTATGGTCTGAAGGTAAGTCTTGGGCAGTGTAGAAATGCCAAGTACTTTGCACTAGATGAGATTTCAGGCAATTTGGTAAGCCATTATGAGAAACTGTGGAATTATAGTGTTGAGTTATTGAAGGTTAATCCTGGGTCAACAGTCTTGATCGAGACAAATCATACACCTGATGCTACACACTAGTTCAAAAGGATGTATATTTGCCTGAAGTCTATCAAGGATGGCTGGATTGAAGGATGTAGAAGGGTTATCGGTGTTGATGGCTGTTTTTTGAAGGGTATTTGCAGAGGTGAGTTGTTAACAGCCGTTGGTAGGGATGCAAACAACCAAATGTACCCTCTAGCATGGGCTGTTGTGCCAGTTGAAAACAAGGAAACTTGGATGTGGTTCATTGATCTTCTACTTGAGGACATTGATACCCTTCAAAGTGTGATGTAGTTTACAATTATTTCGGACCAACACAAGGTGTGATATAGTTTACATTTTACTTACTACATTATGTGTTATTATGTACTTTAAAACTAAAATTTGTTATCACCTTGTAGGGTTTAATGGAGGCTGTTAAGGAAAGGGCACCATCATGTGAGCATAGGAATTGTGCCTAACACATCTTTTCCAACTTTAAGAAGAAGGGGTTCACGGGTGTTGAGTTTAGGAGGTTATGTTGGAGGGCTGAAAAGGCTATAACCGACTCCTCTTTCCGCTCATACATGAGGAAAATCCGTACAATGTCCACAGAAACATATGAGCGCCTGATAGAAAGAGACCCAAATACATGGTGCAGAGCATTCTTTGAACCTGAGAGTTGTTGTGATGTCATGGAAAACAGTATATCTGAATCTTACAATGCAGCAATTGTAGAGGCTCGAAAGAAACCAATAATAATAATGTTAGAAGAAATCAGATTGTACGTGATGGAGAGGATGTACAATCAAAAGATTAAGAGGCATAAGTGGGACATGAAAATCTTCCCCTCTATTAGAATGAGGATTGAGAAGATGAAAGAACAACAAAGGTATATTCTTTAATTGTAAGTGATTAAATATGAAATAACTTACCTTCTTAATATGATTTCATAACAGGTATTGGGATGTTATTCCAAGTGGTGAGGAAGTATATGAAGTGAAATTAGCCCATGAAGTTTATGCTGTTCACCTTGAAAGCAAAACTTGCGGTTGCAGAGCCTGGCAACTCAGTGGTATCCCTTGTGTGCATGCCATTGCTGCTATATTATACCTGAATGGAAATGCAGAGGACTATGTAGTCGTATGGTTTAAAACAAGTTGGTTTGGAAGTTGCTATAGGTATCCAGTCAAACCAATAAATGGAGCTAACATGTGGCCTGATGTTCTATGTGATCCCATATTACCACCTTGGGGTAGGAGACTACCAGGAAGGCCCAAAGTAAACAAAATGAAATGTCCTACAGAGAATGAAGGAAGACATACAATTAACAAGACAGGGATGTGCATCTTAAGATGTAGTAATTGTCATCAAGAAGGACACAACAAGAGGTGATGTCCATTGCTCACAGAAGGTTGGTTTTTATTTTGATTATTCATTCATCTACATTTGTATAATAATAATTTTTTGTTGTTTTAACAATGCAACAAATAAAGCAACTATTGGTGAAGGGGCTGTTGAAGAAGGGGTTAGTCAAGATGGGATTAGTGAAGATGGGGTCAATGAAGATGGGGTTAGTGAAGATGGGATTGGTGAAGAAGAGGTTGTTGAAGAAGGCGATATTGAAGACCACCGGGAGGATGAAATTGAACAGCAAGATGATGAGATTGACCATCTAGTAGATGAAATTGACCATCAATAAAATCATATTGAAGGTCATCAAGAAGATCATGTTGAGGATCATCAAGAGGGGGTTGTTCAAGATGAAGCTCAACACATTGAAGTTGTTCAATATGAAGCTCACCACATTGAAGTTGTTCAAGATGAAGCTCACCATGAAGAGGTTGTTGACCACCATGAACCTGATTTTAATGAAGTTCATCACCATCAGCATCAACCTGTTTTTTTCAGCATTTTGTTTCTAACAAAAGGCGATTACCTTCTAAGAGGATCACGAAACTGAAGTTAAGGAAGAAGTTGGTAACAAAAGATGGAAGTGGGGAAAGTCATGAAAATCCAGTCACTTTAAACTAGGATAAGTGTGTTCTATTAGGATTATGTCAAATACTTTGAAATGACACGTCTTTTGGTGCTTAGTGCACATCTTTTGGTGCTTAGGCTTGTCTTTTTGATGCTTAGGCTTGTCTTTTGGTGTTGTGCACATTTACCAACATTTAGTGCCATGTGCACATGCTTGATTATGTGGTTTAATTATGCTTAATATGTAGTTTATTACCATTTATGCATATTATAACAGTGTACCATTTTGCCCCTATTTGTTAAAACTATGTTAAAATTGGTAAAAACTGTTTTGTGGGGCTTGTTGTGTGGACAATTATGTGTATGGCACTGCTGTAAGAACACTTTAATTACCATATATCGACATAGAAACTTTCACACAATTTCTTCCATTGATGGGGCTCTTTCTTTCTGTTCTAATCTTAACTTACAAAAAAAGCACAAAAAAACATTACAAGAAATATCACCAAACTAGCAGCTCCAGAACCACCAGGGGCATTACCTTTTGTAGGCCACCTTCATCGTTTACAAGGAAAAGCTCCTATAGCCAAGATACTAGTAAAAATGGTTGATGACTATGGGCCAACCTACTCTCTACAGTTAGGTAGCCATTGAGCATTGGTTGTTAGCAGTTGGCAGATGGTGAAAGATTGCTTCACAACCAATGACAGAAATTTCGCAACAAGACCGAATATGACAGTCAGCAGGTACATGGGCTACGATAGTTTATTACCTTTTATGCATATTATAACAGTGTACCATTTTGCCCCTATTTGTTAAAACTATGTTAAAATTGGTAAAAACTATTTTGTGGGGCTTGTTGTGTGGACAATTATGTGTATTGCACTGTTGTCATCACTCAAAACTCTTTAAAACAATTTTATGGACAATTTTGCCCCTGCTGTTATTACTCAAAACTATGAAAATAGTTTGAAACAGGTTTTATGGACTATTTTGCCCCTATTATTATCATTTGATAAAGTGCAATCCTATTATGGACTATTTTGCCCCTGCTATTATCATTTGATAAAGTGTAATCCTATTATGGACTATTTTTCCCTTGCTATTTTAAATCAATAAAAGTATGTTACTATTATGTGTGTTTTCAATAAAACTGCCCTTGTGTTTAAAAACCATTTAAAACACAAATTACATGCATAATGTCAAACAATTTTATAGACTATTTTTCCCCTGATATTATCATTTGATAAAGTGCAATCCTATTATGTGTATTAGCCTTCATAAACACATTCTATGTGTATCAGTCTTCATAAACACCTTCTTTTCATTCCCACTTCGTAACCATATTACATGAGTACAATGAAACTACTTTGAAGATACATATCCTGATAATTTCAAAGTACATTTCCCTTACATAATAACATTAACACTACATCATGTACTTCACTACAAACAAAACAACAAACATCAACACGAAACATTTCATTTTATCCAATTCCTTTCTAAAACTCTTATCATTCTTCATCTTGTACTCACTGAAATCATGTTCCAATATTGCAATCTTCACTTCAGTATTGAAATCATGTTCTTCATCTTTCTTATTCTTGTTCTTGGTTATAATTTCTTCAGCATCATCAACCCATTCCCAGAAATCACATTTATCCTTTGGATCCTTCATCTTGAATTATAACATAAACAAACAATATTGTAGCATGAAAAACAAAAAGGGACCCAAACAAGAACAAGCTTTTAGATATACTTACTAAAGAGTTAGGACAAACCCTAAATTTTTTACCAAGATTTGCCTCTGTTGTTGATATCCAAATGCGAGAAGGAAACCCACAATCACAAGGATTTGCCTTATCAATTGTGCTTTTTGACTTGGAATTTTTTGATCTTGAGCATGAGTTGGAGGATTGAGATGAAGAAGCCATGTTGAAGAAGTCGATTGAAGAATTCAATTGATTAAGGAGTTGTATCCCCCATTATGCCCTATATCTATCTATCACAAATGCCACGTAGATATGCCAACATATATGCCAACTCAATAGAAATATGCCAACTGATTTACCCCCATCGTTTACCTACAAGATGTCGGTCACCGTTAAAAAACGTTAATTTTACTGGTAACTTTATTTGGCTTTATAGTAAAATAACATAATTTTGTTGGTGTTTTTTGAACAACAAAAACGTAATTGGGGTAATATGAATGTTTTTGAAACTTAATTCGTCTTTTAAGTCATTTTCCCATAGAAAGACCAATGGGATGCCTTGAGCCAAAGGAATGGTATATACGTATACAATTGATATGTATTAAGTGCACGTTTAGACTAGTTTAGTTTGACTGTATTATAATTGATTGATGAGGGTACCATTAGGTACCATTCGGTGTGAAGTGCGAGACCTTGGATAAGAAGTGGAATACTATAAGAGGGTAAGTTAGGCATACAAATAGAAGAATGGTAGCCAATATATAAGGTACAACTCATTCATTTAGTTGAAAGCTGGTATACCCACCAGTCATGGGGGTCAACATTGATTGATTGAAAAAGAGTGATCATTTATTATATAGTTAGGAGATTTCGTCGATGGTGAAGCAAATGTTTGCATGAAGAAGGTCGACACTAGACACGAGGCTGATTTTTTCTATTGTCCCTTGATAGGGATACATAGTTTAGATCTCAGTTTTGAGGAAGGTTTTAAGAAGAAATGGATGCTTAGTTGTTGCTTAGCACAATATCTCACCCATGAATAGACAATATGAGTAAATGTTTGGTTTAATCTTTAAGGGTAATTAGATTGCCTTGTCAGCATTCAGACTATTTTCTGGTGAAAAGTGCAAGACACCTAGCTCTTGGGCAAAACTGGTCATCAAGCACTAGGGGATGTATATATCATACTTAGGACAAATGAGTTGATTCGGATGGTACGAAAATTATCGGTAACCGCACATAGTCGGCATAAGATTTATGTCGGCATGAGGCATCCAAATTTTGAAATTCAGATAGTAGATTATATCATGCTAAAGATTTCACCATGATAAGAGTAATTTGGTTTCTGTAAGAGGGGAAAGTAGGGACATCCGTGCACGGCCTATACAAGATCGTTGCTTGGGTTGGTCAAGGTCTAGTGGCAAAATTGAAAGGTTAGGGATGGACATGGGAACCATAGGCATAAGTGTGGGTACTTTATCCATAATTATTCACTAGTGAAGACTTCGACGACATAGTCTGTTTTAAGTGTGGAGAGTTGTAACACCCAATTTTCGGTTTAATTATTTAATAAAGGAATATAGTTATAAATACAAATAAATAAATAAAATTATTTCTAATTAGTAATAAAAATAATTTAGAAATCAGTATTGAGGTAATTGTAATTATAATTCAAGGGAGGGGGTAAAAGGAACAATTTTACAACTTAAAATGTAAAAAACATGGATCATAAGGACAAAATAAACGTTTATGTTAAAATAGAGGGACTAGGTTTGCCATTTGCTGATAGATGCATGAAATGCAATTTATGCTTATTCCTTATGGTATTGAACATATTTGGAATCTCAAAACCAATCAATGGTCAACCCTTCGTTAGCACTTGTAACCTCTCGATCCACCCTACAGCTAAGAGTGTGCGTTTTGTGTATGGAAGCAATAAGCAAGAGATGGAGAGAAGAAAAGTGTGGAATGGAACACCGAGAAAGTGAAGGAAGGCTTCAAGCTTCATTCTAGGTATGTGTAAATCAACTTCCAGCTAAAAAAATCAAAAAGAAAGAGGGTTACATGAGAGAGAAAGAGAGGATAAGTCTTGACTTTGAGGGTAAAATTTGCATGTCACAAAACAAAACAAACGATCAATTTATACACGTGGTTTTCGAAATCTCCCTAGCTTATTTAATAGTTTATAAGAAATTCTACGTTTATGGAGTTTTTGGAGGAAGAATGGTGGAGAAAATTTTTAAAAAGATGAAGAGAGAGAGACAATATATCCAGAGAGATGTTAGGCAGGAGAAAGAAAAAGAAAAAGAAAAAAAAAAGAGGATAGTTCTGAGTCAAGGTTTTCACATGGGATCTTTAATCTGACTCATCCTTGGTAAGTCATTCTCCCATTTTCATTATCGTAAATGTAATAAGAGGTGGTAACTCTCTATATCTTAATGGGTTAAGACAAGAACCCATAACCCTTAGTTTGGTGTTTTTCTCTTTTAGATATTGTATTTTGATTTGTGGTTTGATCACCAAATGACAATTATGTCATAACACCTCATAAGGATTTTTAATTCCTTATTATCTAGCTTTGAGGTCGTTTTCATAAGTTCTTAATGGGTTAAGATGCCAAATTAACCGTAAAAGAATAAAGCTGTGATTTTATGAAATTATCCTATTCTGTCCCTGTATTTTAAAATTATAGAAAAATCATGAATGGTTGGATTTAGGTTTTGTTAGTGCCCAAAGTTTAGGTTTTGAGTATATTATCTCCATCATTTTTCCTTGACATGATGTTAACTATAATTTTGTTGAAAATCATCATTTTCACCAACTGGTCAGGAATTAGTTGCATTGATATCCCATTTTGTAAAATCCATTATAAATTGTAGAAAAATCGTATGGACTTGTGTAAGTAGTCCATAAAGGTATTGACCTGAAAATTATGAATATGGATCCATAATCTGGTTTGGATGTGTTTAAGAGGGAAAAACAGGTATTGAACATGCTACTGTTTTGGGTTAAAGTTTGGAAATTTAACCTAGTAATCTAATTACATGTTTAGGGTGAAACGGTAGCCATTTCTAATCTTGATTGCCATTCTTAGGAGTAGTGAAGGGTGACTTGGTGTGAGTGGATTGTGGGATATTGTTGGAGGTTGACCTTGCTACTTGAGGTGAGTTTCTCACTACACTGTATTATATTATATTTCCTTTATGTTGGCTCGTGTGTGATAAGTATTTATGTGGGTAGAACTAGGCAGGGTGGAGTCTAGTAGAAGTATGTTTTTCCCTAATGTATTAGGGATTATGCATGGTAGGACTCGGCTCATCTAAGTGGTGATCGTTTGTAGCGAAAATGTCCCAAGAGCTCAACGTACAAAGCAAGAGGATCGGGCATGTCCAATGTGTCCCAATTGGTTTATGTATGGGGGATTGGGCGTAGCCAATATGTACCAAGGGCTCGATGTATTGATAAAAGTGGGATCGGGCCTAGCCTATGTGTCCCAATAGAAATATGTTTATTTCTGATTCGTTCATTGACATGCATATGTGGTTGTGTATTGATATCGTTTGTATCAATGTATAGGGGTAAGAATTATATGATATGATAATATATATATGTGTGGAATTCACTAAGATTTATGCTTACCCATTTTACCTTTAATAATAATGTTTTAGGTACACAAGATTGTCCGGCATGATCGTACATACCGACTCGAGGTGAGATATTGGATTTTTAATAATGGAATAATTGTGTGTTTCATAAATTTTAGAATTATAACTAATAATGGTTTTGGTAATTGAATTGATCTTGGGTTTTTGGCTTTAAATTTATTTTGAATAAAATATATTGAATGGATGATTTATGTTATTTAAGAAGTTTATATTTATTGTAACTTTGGGGATGTTACACAAAAATTTTCATGTTGTTCTTGATTCTCTCACTTGCTTTGACAATCTCCTTTATAGTAATTTTACAAGATTTTAGAAAAGTTATAAACTTTTATAAAACTTCATAAAACCCGTGGGCTATCATGATCTTCAAAAATAGACATCTTTTTCGTCTTGTTACACTTTATATAAAATAAAATCGTTCAACACTAATCTATTACTTACAAAATCATAAAAATAAAAAACTAGCTATTTATTATTACATACCATATGAGTAATCAACTATTACAACCACTTTAATAAATCATCATAAAACAACAACGCGAAGGGTTCATGACTTGTTTATGCACTCTAAAATACATTAACATATAAAACAACCTTTATTTTCTAAGACAACTTTAAATGAAAAAATATGCATGTAAACTTTTTTCACATAAAACAAGTTATCCATACTTTCCAAAAACCAAGATTATCCATATAATCACAAAATTCTAACCAAGCTTACAAGGTGGTTCTAATACCAATTTATTGGTTTTTATTCACAAATTAGTTTAAAAAGATTTAAAATTTCAGACAACATAAATAAGTTTATACCCACCAAGGATCTACTTGCAAAGATTGGAAATAAAACAAAAACAAAAGAAGCATAAATGCATAAAACAACATTTGTAATTCTTTGGGTCCTTAAGGGGAGACCTAAATGTAGATGTAGGATGTGGAGTAGAACTCTTCCTTTGATGGAGATACCAACAAGAACTCAAATTGATGAATATGCTAGTCAACACTCTTAAGCTATAGGTAAATATGAAAATATGACTTAAAGAGAGCCAAAATCAAGCTAGTATTCTCTCACCTTTTACTAGACAGAAGATTAGAGGGAAAAGGCATCAACTTACAGATTCAACTAGTAAGAGAAGGATGCAATGAAAGCCTTTATAGAGCTAAATCATTACCCAAGAAAGTTTAACACTTTAAACACTCAATTCCCCTAAAGCCTACATGTCTCCCATGCCTTTAAGCCATGTCTTTCCTTTGATTAAAATAACCAAAGCACCATACTCACTTCATCTTGACTAGCTTACGGTATTTCAAAAAGAAAAAGGAGAGATCATAGTGTAACAGCCGGATTTTCAGGTATCTTGTATATTTATGTTTTTTGGTGTTTGGAGAGGGGACTCGGCGAGTTGGAGCTCAGACTCGCCGAGTAGGGTCGCGGATCTGGTCGCGGGATCGCGCCTGGACTCGGCGAGTCAGCGCTGTGTAATGAAACCCTAATTTCTCGGGTTTGGGACCTATTTAAAGGGCCTTATGGCCGTCATTTGTGCTCACCAGTCCCTTGAGTGAAACCCTAATCGAGTGTGAGCGTTTGGAGCAAAGTAGAAGGCCATTATTGATCTTGGAGGTGTCATTTTTGCAAGGAAGGAGAGAACTAGCTAAGGGAAAGCAAGTGGAGCCACTTCTGAGAGTTTGGAGTCCAGAGCATCACTATTG